CCCCCCCCAATACACATTAAACTAGCACAAGGGGAAAAGGTGCTCTCTGACGGAGGTCTGTCCATGGTCGTGGTCTCCCGATGACACACAAAAATAGCTGTTTACAGTAAACGAAATAAAACTGCTGAATGGGAAGGTGTGTCTCCCCCCGCCCCCCGGACCACGACCCTGCAACTTCTGGAAAGCTTACTGGGTTCTAGTAAAAACACTAAATGAAGGTAACCTACACGTTCTAGAAATAATGCACTGAGATTTTAATGCTTCAGGTGTACAGTATTGGAGGAAGGACAACGTTCACTTTGTATTTTTGGATATTGCCATGTCTTGAATTTAATAAAATTATAATGTACTTATTTATGAAAATATATGACCCCTCCTGTGTTGACTGACTGGCTGTTGTGGGATCTTCCCCCTTTGACCCCCATGTTAATAAAATTGCAGGAACACCCCCCCCCAAAAAAAAGTCCTCTCTTGGTTGCATTGCTCGCAGTGTTTGAGCGCCAGCTCTCTTTAGCACATAGTATAATTTGGGGTGTGTCTTTTGGCTTCCCGTGCTAGCCAATCAGGAGCCCTGTCAAATCAGGCTATGGCTTTATCAAGATTGAGAAGGCTGGCATTATTGCATGCTTCCGACACCGCCCACGGTGTGGGTAGACAGTGAAACTCAGAAGAAAAGGTAGTTGCTCTACCCTGCTGAGCTCATGATGGCTCCAGTCTAGGCCGGGAATCTGCAGGTTTAACCCATTGTTCATGACAGCCTGCTGTGAGCAATAGTTCGGGCGGTGGTCATTAAAGCTTTGGCTGAACTGCAGGTACTGCTGTCCTCCTAAGTATCTGTGGTTCCCGCTGATGGAGTTTAATCACAGAGAGGAGCAAGCCAGACAGAAGGGCCCTGCAAAGGAGGGGGGCTGAACATTCAGAGGGCTGAGGAAGCCAGGCAGCAGTCAGGAAATCAAGGGAAGGAAAAGGCAGGGCCTGCAGAGATGAGAAAGACTGCCAAACCTTTGCCCACAGGGGAGAGGAACAAGCAGCACTTATACCCACAGGGCTTGCGAAGACTTTTGCCCAGGGCCAGCCGTGCTGTGCCTTTCCAACTGTGCGTCTCTCCTGAAGGTGTTCCTTGCAAAGGGGTAGAGCAATTTGCTGAAGATTTGAAATGCTGCTGCTTCCCTAGCAGAGCCAGGGGGGAAAGCCCACACAGAGACATAGACCTGACCTGGTTATGGGTAGTGGCTCGTGAGCCAATTGCCCAATTCTCCTTTAGAAGGATGTCTGTTTGCAATTTAGATGTGAGCACTGAGCAGTCAGCTGGGGTTGGCATGGTGAAACGGCTGAAGAAATTATCAGTAGCTTATGCTGTGGGTGCATAATGATGGCCCAGCGCCATGAGCATTTCAGGGTGGTGGGTGTGGGTTGGGTTCTGCCCTGTCCCCAGTGGGTTGCCAGCATGACCAAGGACCACAGTTGAGCTCCTTATACCCTTGGCCATTGGGGGGGGGATGGTACTCTTGGGAACCACTTTCAGAAAAGGGTTCTTCGCTCCCTCTCTTGCAGAATTTTCTATCTGTATCAAAACTACCAATTTTTTGGAACGGCCAGAAAAGCATGCTTTTTGTGGCATGATTAGGCCAACGCTGCGGGGAGCTTCAGAGTATGCTTTACCCCTCTGCAATCTTGAGAAATTCCTGGGGTGTTCGTTCTCTCACTTCTAAGGATTAGACATCTGGCTTCTCTAGTTGTGCCCTTTAAAACATTAATGCATAGATGATGGATGTTTCTGAACTGTCTTCAAGAAGCAGCCTCATGGAGAGCATGGTGCAATGACCACAAGCTCATTATAGTAGCCGAGGCACATCGTAGGAGCCAACCCTTGTCGTTGCCTTCTCGCACTCGTCGTTTGAACCATCTGGATGCAGTGCAGAGCTCCCCTTGAGTTGTTGCCCATCACCTTTGATGGATGTCTCTGTACTCTGTCTAGGCCCCTTCTAAAGCCGTTCGTCCTAATGGCTGTCACCACATCCTCTGGCAGCAAATAGCAAGATGTTTGCATGAAGGAGCACTTCCTTTTGTCTGTGCTCTCCTTCCAAAAACATTCCAGACCTATGGTACAGGGAGCAAAAGATCTCAGAGGCTCTGGTATCCCGTCCATCCGTCTATCTGCGCACCCACAAGGTGCCTGCCGCTTGAGAAGAGGGGCTTGTGAGGGGTTCACTCAGGTGGGAAACGCCAGGCTTCTCTCTCCTCGGGCATCATGTCTTGGCAACTTATCAAAGCCTCTCCCACGAGTTCCTGAAACAGCTGATGTTCTGGCCGGCCCTCCCACGTCGATGCCACAGCGATCTTGATCTCTGCGCCCATCTCCTGTGTTTCAGCTGTCGGAGGCCCACAGGGGCTGATGGGCGGAGATTCGTCCTGCTCATCCTCTGGTATGCACCGTGACTTGTTAAGGCATCCCATCTCGGTTGCGCAAGGGAGCTCTTTGATTACACGTACAAATCTTTAGAGAGCACCGAGGGCTGAGCTTGGTAGTGCCAGGAAGGCAGGGAGGAGGAAGGCGATGTCTCCTCAGGAGGTCTGGTAGCGCACGTCTGCCTCAGCACTGTGGTAAAACAAAGCGTATGGGTACATACCCACCCTGGCTATTTGAATACACAGGAAGCTGCCTTACACTGAATCCGATTAAGGCCAGTATTGTCTGCTCGGAATGGCAGTGGCCCTCCAGGGTCTCTGGCTGAGGTCTTTCACATCACCCGCCGACCTGAAACCTTTTAAATGGAGACTGAACTTGGGGCCTTTTGAACGTGAAGCAGAGGCTCTGCCACTGAGCCACGGTCCCTTCCCATTTGACAGGTGGTATCTTGCAGATGCTCAAAATGGCAGCCATTTTCAGGTTTGCTTGTGGTCACATGTGCTGTCCTTGTTTGTCCATGACGGAGACCAAAAGTGTCTTACAGCATTCTCTCTTCACTGTGTCCACGGGCCAGCCCTCTAATCACTATACCATGCTGTCTCTCCACTAAGCCTGTAAAAAAAAAAAAAGATATATAACCCAAGTATTCCACTACGGACTGTGTTCAGGTGAAACCAAGTGTTCCCTTCCACCCATCCTGCAGAGTCATTTGAGCCTTGTCTAACACCTGCCCACATGCCAATTTCCACGAACGCATAATTGTCTTAGGGTTTGATACCCCCCATCTCCCAAATTACATGTTAGGTCCATGACTGTATTTAGCAGTTTAAAGAGCGCTCCTGTGCTCGGTACCTCCATGCAAACCCAAGCTGCCGTTCCCTTAATCATCTCGCCTCTCCTTTTGCTAAACCTGAACCACAAGCTCATAATGACGGCCATCCGGTTCCACCTTCACTGTCGGCGGAGAGTGCTCTTAAATGACGCTCTAACCTCTGTAATTACCCACTTTCTGGGCCTGGCAGTTAGCCCTACCCTGGCTTGGGCTACCAGTTTTGTTCTGGAGGCAGGAAATGCAGACTGTGGTTGGGATTCTGTATGTTCGAAAGCTCCACCTTGGAGTCTGGATTTTTGATAGGTGTTCTTGGGAAAATGTGAATCTTTGATCTTTGGATCTGATGCTGGTATTTGATACATGTACAGTGGGGTTTAGTTTTGGCTCTTGATGTCCGGTCATTTTATCACCAATGGAAGAAAAAGCTAGGCACTTTAAAAATATTTCACTAAATTTGGCTTTGCCCGCGCTTGTGGATTGGGCTTCGGTTCAGGAACTTTTGCATGTTTTATGAATTGATTTTCACATCAGATAGGTGACTTGCTAGAACTAAGAAAGCATGTATTTGGAAAGCAGCATCTTGATAGAATTATCTTTAAAACGCCTTCAGTTTTCTCCTCCCTCTTAAGCAACCCAGAATATGGTCTGGAGTCCTGCGATACAGTAGTCTTGCTGAAGCAAATCAGGGCCTGGCGTGGCTCTGGTCAGTGCCCGGATGGGGAACTGCCCAGGATTGTGTGGCATGCCCTGTATATGATTCATGGTGAATGAATGGAATATAAACGAAACAGATAGCTGGAGTGAGTCTGTCAGATTACACAAGAAACAAGCCAAATGAGGTTTTCTCCTTCTGCTTCTCTGGAGCAAGCAACCACAATCTTGTGTATCACTCTTCCCTTGCATGCATACGCACACCTGAATGACAACCAGCATGGTATAGTGATTAAGAGTGTTGGACTAGTATCTGGGAGACCCCGGTTCAAATCTCCACTCGTGCTGTGGAAGCTCGTTGGGCCAGTCACACTCTCTCAGCCTAACCTATCTCACAGGCTTGTTGTGAGGATAAATGGAGGAGGGAATGATGTTAAGCTGCTTTGGGTCCCGTTGGGGAGAAATGCATTAAATGAATCAATTAAATGAACTGAATCACTCTCACACTCTGCCTACCCAGTCCCTGGGTCTGTAGCTACAGAGGGTATATAGGGGATAGTACCCCCCCCTTTGAATTATGTCATTCCTTCTCTGAATTTCCATTTTTTTTCCTTTTAGAAAAGTCTCCAGCCCCTTTCCTTACAGAGATATAATGGGAAATGTGCAAGTACTTTTACTTCTGCTTGCTTTCAAAGGAATGCGGAAGGGGCAGTAAGACAGCTCTGGAAATCCCTTAATCGAATTCATTCTTTCATGCCCTCTTCTGCAACATCCCCCCTTCTTTTTCCCTCCTCTGCTTTCTCTCTCCTCTTCATTGATGCAGTGACAAATAACATTAGGGAGAAAAATCTGATTGATGGAGCTTGGGGTTGCTCCTTCTGTCTGCTGTAGGTGTTTTCCTCAGATCCTAAAAGGATGGAAAGAGATAAAACCCCATGGCAGACTGGGGATTCGAACCTGGGTCTCCCAGAGCCAAGTCCAATACTTTTAATTACTATATCACATCAATTACTACATCTTATGATTATCTTTGCCTAGTATTTCTAGATACTTC